TCTTCTACCTAGCCCCCGGCTCTCCGCTCGCTTTTGTCCACTCTCAACGCCTCACCTCTCTCTATCCCCTGCTTCCGCCGCCTCCGTCTCTCGTCCCCCATCGGCCTGGCCTCCTTTCCCTCTCCGCCTCTTTCTGCCCTTCCGCCCTTCCGTCTCTCTGCCCTTCCGCCTCTCTGCCTCTCCTCCCTCCCCCACCCGCCCATCCGCGCCCAACCTCCCCTTCCACCACACCTCTGACGTGTTTCTAGAATTACAATGACCATAGAACAGACGATCTTTCCACATCGTCGTGTGACAGGCGAAATGGGAGGAACTGGCCCTCATCAAGTGCAGTTTCGACAGGACCATCACGGCGCGCAGCGTGCAGGGATCTCATTTGAAATGGAGCCTAAGCCTTCTCAAGCCCTTTGCACGAAGCAAGAAGAGCGCTTGGAGTGCTTACTTACGACGGGAATGGCTTCCCGAAACTACTGCCCTCGAAATTGTCGGTCTCGTCTCCCTGTTCTCATCTCGTCTCGTCTTTTCGTGTTCCTTTCCCATTGCCTATCGTACCTACCCCGGGCCCGCCTTGTCTTACATATTTCGTCTCGTCTCCTTCCTAACTTATCCATCGTTTTTCTTCCCGGCCTCTCTTACTTACTCAATTTCTCTCTCACTCCTGATTATTCTTATTTTGGCTGGACGATGTCGATGATGAGCCTCGTCCTGCGCCGACCTTCGTACTTATTTTCCTTCTTCATCACTCAGTACCTACCTACCCCTCCAGCCACTACCCCCGCCACGAGCCACGCCTCGGGCTCCGCGTCGAGCAACAGGCTGCGCAACCCGACTCAGCCAACGACCCGCCCAGACGCTCGCCACTACCAAGATCGGCCGACGTCAAGAACGACCGGTCTGTGCGTCCGTGCCGGTCTCCGCCTCCGTTCTGGGTGACGGCGGAGTGGACGAACAGGATGCAGAGGTTGTTGGATAATCATCTCGTACTAACGGTGTTGGGCCGAGACGGGCGGGCATGGACGGAATTGAATATTGAATGGGCATTGGCTCGGCGGACGACAACCCCGAGCCCCGAGCTGGCCAGGGCCCCGGGGTTCGGTGTGTGTGGAAGAAGAAGTACTTCGGGATGGAAGTGGTCGGTGTCGGTGTACATGTCTCCTGAGCTAGAGGCGGACAAGTACTTCCTTCTCCCGCCTTTCGTTTTTGGACTCTCGGCGTATACTAGGATGGGATGAGGATGAGGTGGAGGTGGAGTGGAGTGGAGTGGAATGTATGCGCGCCGAGGATTCCAGCTGGACGGTACCACGTCGTTGAGTCGGTTTCCTCGTCGTCTTTTCCGTTCCATCCAACTCAGCACCCGGTCATCGTGGTGGTGTCGTCTGCTGTCTTTCGAACACACATTCGACAACACCCCACACAACGCATCGATACGATACAGAACGCCAGTGATCTCACCCTCACAACTATCACGATGCGCCGACCATCAAACGCTGGTCAAATCTTTCAGCGATCCGCGACCCGCCCTCGTCTCTCCGCTCTCTAGATTATCCCATCCCAAAGTCAAATCCGTACCATACGGACCCTGTCCTCGACAAAACCTCAGTCTCGTACCTATCTATCTCCTCGCCGTTCTATTTTTGTTCGGATCTCTTCCTCGCTGATCCCTTTCGTTTATTCCAGACTTCCTGATTATTCTGGATGTAGGTCCCGTTGGGGGGCGACGTTACCTGCGTGGTGTACACTTCTCTCCCTCTGGCCTGGTCGCAACGTATCGTACGCGGACGAAGACTCCTTTCGACATCTTCCACAACGCCGACACTGTCACCAGATCCGCAGGCGAGCGAAGGAAACAGTGGGCCGGTAGGTTTGAACCGTGGTTGGGCCAAGAAGCGGAGACTTCTAGAATGTCGTGGGTGAAGGAACAAACGGTGAAGGTAAATGCACCAACTTTCCGTCAGCCAGAGTCAACGAGCACTAATGGGTATTCGCAACAGTGCCTTCGTTGACCAGTCGATTTGAACAGAGACACAATCGAGCCGCGAGCGAAAAGCGACATCTAGATGGAAAGCATGCCTGGCTTTCGAAGTCAGGGCCCCGTTTCAGCGTCCCTTGTGCAGACACGGATGGCAGTGAGTTGTAACACCCACCAATCGTGGAGAATACCCTTTCCGCCTCTTCGTAGATCGTCGGATATTGTGAGGACCGTTTGTATGTGCCGTTTCACGATTGTAAAGGCGTTCAGCCACACTTTCTGCGTTGGACAGTGGGCCGAGAGGGCGGGAACCAGAGCGGGAAAGCTGATACCCAATGCCGTCGCGAGTAACCCACGGAGGGTTGGGTTGCGGATTTGTCGTCGACCACAACTCGGCACACCACCACCCAGCTAAAGTGACTTGGTTGTTTACTCTATCAACGGATTCATGTAGGGTCAGCTACAGCGTTAATCTCGGGACGTACACATACCCTAGCTGGATACGGCGAGATGGCGGTTTTGGGGGAAATGCACACCGTGCACAACCGAAATAGATCGGCGGGCGTGGGATCTTCCAGGTGACATCCGCATTGCGATCGCAATCAACAATCGCTCCTTGCACTCAACATCCACCAGCGATCCAACAGTGCGCTCGACGCAATAACTCGATGTCCGATAATGACCACCGTCCATTACCAGGCGCCGGCACCACCGCGCCCGATCAACCTCTCACTCTGCTTGCCACCCGATCCGAACACTTGGAGACTCGCGATATCAATGCTGGTACTCTCGCAGCTGAGGGAGATGGAAAGATCGTCATCCTGAACAGTAAGTTCAGTGACCGCCCACATTTATGAGATGTATTCTCATTTTAGAGCCTAGATTTCATCATCAAATGCCCCCCGGACCACGGATTGGATACCCTCAGTCTCGATGTGATTGGACTGAACCGAGGAGAGGATCCTACGAAGTTAGCAATGGAAAATGTTTCTGAGACAAAGTGGGAGTGCTCTAGCCCTGTTCATCTGTAAGTTCTTAGCACTCTCAGTATGATGTATAGATGATAATTTACCAACAACATATCAGGGATTGGGATACTAATCATCTTAAGCTGGTTGCTCATTCAGACCGTGATGAGGCCCTAGGTTTTGTTGTCCTCGAGAAGGATGATATATTATCATTAGTTTCAAAAGATCAAGGTATGTCTACCTACCATGCCATCTCAAACTAGAGGATAATGGCATATTGGCTGCTCCAGATACACAACTGGAATTTGATTTGAAAGAGAGTAACCTCCATCTGAAAATATCTTTTGCCCTTGGTTTGTACCCACTTTTCTCCAGGTTAAATTAGCATATCTAATTCTTGCTATTATTTTAGCTGTCCACAAGCCAATCCCAGAAGCACAATCTCCCTCTCAGACCAATACCATATTACAGTCTATCTTGAACTCTGAGCAAGATCTTGTTCATTTCACCTCCATGATCAAGCAGCTTCCCAACGATCCTGGGCTTCTCAATTATCTAGGAGATGTCTTCAATGATCAATTTGAGGAAACTCACCATGAAGATGATATTCATAAAGCCATCTTGGCTTATGAATCAGCAGTTGCTCTATCAACTTCTGAGAACTCAAACCACAGATTCTATCTTTGTGATACTGGATTGGCATTTACTCGCCACTATCAGTTGTCAGGGAATTTAGATGATCTTGATCAAGCTATTCCTATATTTGAAGCTTCCATTGCTTGCAATCCTGAGGGCCCAGAGGATCTAATAGAATCATTCAACAACCTTGCAATGGCTCTTCAATATAGGTTCAATAGAACTGGCAATCTTCCAGATCTTCACTACTCTATCTCCCTTCTTCAAAGTGCTGTCAAAGAGACATCTGAGGAGAATCCAATTCTTCCACTGGTTCTCAATACTCTTGGAACTTCTTTTCAGATGCTTTTTGAAAGATCTGGAGAACTTGATGACATTTCAGCAGCAATTTCTGCAAAGCAGAAAGCTGTTGATCTTACTCCAGATGACTCTGATGGAAAACCTGCATTTTTCAGTGATCTTGGACATGCCTTTCAAAAATCATTTGAAAGCAGAGGGAATATTGCAGACATTGAAAAGGCGCTATTATATTCACAGATGGCCATTGCCCTTATCCCAGAAGACCATCCAGATCTTTTCTTATTTCTCAACAATCTAGGAACTGCTTATCAGTGTTGTTTTGAAAGAACAGGCAGCTTTGCAGATCTTGAAAGCTCTATTGCCAACTTGCAGAAAGCAGTTAATTGTGGTTCTTTGACAGATGAGAATTTCCCTCTCTGTCTTAGTAATTTGGGAGCTGCACTTGCAAAATGTGCTGAAATTACTGGCAATCTGCAGAATATTCAAGATGCTATACTCAACTTGGAGAAAGCAATCACTTTTTTCCCTAAAGATCATATCATGCTGCCTACAGTTTTCTGCAATCTGGGAAATTGCTTTCAACGACAGTTTGAAAGAATAGGCAAAATTCCAGATATTGAAAAAGCCATTCTTAATATGCAAAAGGCTATTGATTCTACTCCAGCAGGGCATTTCAGTCTACCATCATCTTATAGTGGGCTTGCAATTTGTCTTGAAAGAAGCTTTGAGCATACTGGCAATCTTGTTCAACTTGAAGATGCTATATTCAATTTGCAGAAAGCTGTTGAGCTTACTCCAGCTGAGCATGTTGATCTGCCTATATATCTCACAAATCTTGCTTGTTCCTTCCGAACACGATATGAAAGGACAAATACTTTTGTGGATATTGAAAGTGCTATATTCAATCATCAGCAAGCAATCAAGCTTCTTCCAGACAGACATCCAAATATTCCTGGATTTTTAAACAATCTTGGCACTTGCTTTCAGCTCCGCTTTGAGAAATCAGACAATCTTATTGATTTATCAAGTGCCATATCTGTAAAGGAAAAGGCAGTTAGGCTTACTGAAGACAGCCAAGCAGATATGCCTTTATTCCTTACTAGTCTTGCAAATGCCCTTCAACTTCGCTTTCAGAAAACAGGAAATTCAGATGATATAGATAATGCAATATCCAAGGCCCAGAAAGCTGTTAGTCTTACTCCTGATGGGGATGCTGGAATGCCATTACGCCTCACTACTCTTGGAAATATTCTTCACAACTATTACAATGAAACAAAAAGTTTTGCTCATATTGAAAGTGCTGTACACCATCTGCAGAGAGCTGTTGATCTTGCTCCTCCTCAGCACAGAAGTCTGCCTATTTTTCTCAACAATCTGGTACTTGCCTTGGAGAACTACTTTCCATATCCCAGAAGTCCTCAGTATACAAGCCAAATCATTTCTATCTGTCGTCGCTCTGCTTGTGAGGCCTCTGGGCTTCCATATCATAGATTTGTTGCTGCTACTAAATGGGCAGAGCTTTCTAGGCTATTCCAACTGCCAGAGACTCTGGAGGCCTATAGCCTTGCAATTAAGCTCATGTCTCAGATTGCTAGTCTGGAGCAAACCATCCAGAAGCGTCATGAGAATCTTTCTCACATTGAGCATCTCACTATATCTGCAAGCTCAGCTGCAATCACTCAAGGAAATCTTGAACTTGCTCTATCTTGGTTGGAGCAAGGGCGCTGTCTTGTCTGGAACCAGATTCATCAGTTCCACACTCCAGTTGAGATCCTTAGTGCTTTAGATCCCTCTCTGGCTCAGCGCTTTGTGACTATTGCATCTGCATTAGAAGCACTGGGTTCACGTCATGAAGGAAACAGCATTTTCTCTTCAGAGAACATGAACAAGATGATTACATTGCAAGAAGAAGTGAGAACACAAACACTTCTTGCCAAGCAGTGGAATGATCTTCTTTCTGAGATTTGGAGCCATCCTGGCTTTGAGGATTTTCTTCAGCTGCCCAAGATGGATTCTCTACTGTCTGCCTTACCAGCTGATAGTGCAATAATTGTTCTCAACATTGATGAGGAAAGATGTGATGCACTTGCTCTTATTTCCAGCTGCAGAGCTCCTATTCATATCCCACTTGAACTTTTCAGTTACAAGCAAGCTATTAATCTCAATATCCAGCTGCACAAATTCCTTAGAAGTCATGGAGTACGTTCGAGGAATGCTGACCCAGATCGTGGTGGACGGAAAGTCATGCCAAGCAACAAGACTGAAGAAGTGATGCATATGGTCCTTCGAGTTCTTTGGCAGTGTGTGGCAAAGCCAGTACTTGATGCACTCACCGACAAGGTACGAATATGATCTATCTATCTTCACCATTTTTTACAGACTGATCTCGTTCTATGTAGTTTTCATTGTTAGACCGGCCTCGTATTTGGTGGTGCCCAACAGGACTCTTATCTTTTCTTCCCATCCATGCTGCAGGAATGTACGGAACGCCCGACAATGTGTGCGTTTCCGATTTTGTCATTTCATCCTACACTCCCACCGTGAGCGCGCTTGTCAATAAGATAAAAGAAGTGCCGAAGAAGGAATCGGAATCAAGCCTTCTCCTCATCAGCCAACCAAATACACCAGGGAAGGCCTCGATCCCGGCGACGAGGGAAGAGACTCATGCAATTCACGAGATGATGCGACAAGCAGGCATACAGTCTCTCTTACTCGAAGATGACGAAGCAACGACGACGCGAGTGCCCGAAGAGCTGAAGGCGCACGGTTGGGTCCACTTCGCATGCCACGGAAGCCAGGACCCCGCAGAACCTCTCAACAGCGGCGTCCATCTCCACGACGGGTGCCTTACCCTGCGTGAGATTATGCGCCAGCATATCCCGAACACCAAGCACGCATTCCTCTCGGCATGTGAAACGAGCACTGGGCATGGGGATCTCTCGGATGAAGTGGTCCATCTCGCAGCCGGGATGCTAGCTGCTGGGTACCAAGGAGTGGTCGCGACGATGTGGTCAATCAAGGATGACTATGGACCGAAGATTGCGGGGGCGTTCTACGAGCATCTTTTGGAGGGCACGGCTGGCGAAGGAGGAAAGAAACGCCTCGATGGGGTTCGAGCCGCTCATGCACTAGACCACGCGATATGCTCGATCAGGGAGAAAATTGGCGACAGCGAGGAGGCGCTCCTGACGTGGGTTCCATACGTGCACTTTGGTATTTGAGCCATTGAAGATGCACTTGTTCAACTTGTGGGGGATAGGCTATAGTTGCAGTCAGTGCAGTGTACTTGTAAATGAACTGATGTCGCTGGTAATGGAGACGAATTTGTGGGTAAAAATAGGTTCACCATAGGTCCCAAAATGAATACTTGGTACCCGATACTGCTCCGTCGTCGTTAACTTTAGTCCCGAAGCAGAGAGACCATAGTGGCCCATGCAGGCATCTCGGGTAAGCCTTGTACGGTCACATTGCCGTCTAGCCAACCGAGCTCTGTCTAGCACAGACCGCGCTCTCGCAACTACGGAACGCCGTACCAATCCCAGGACCTGACAGGCCGCATCACTTCCAAACGTGAAGCCTGAGTCGACTTGAGCGAAACAACACCCGCGATACTAGTTCAGCCACGTCGTAGAGGTCGTCAAATGAAAACTTCCAAGCCAGCCGAAAGGAAACGAAGACGAAAGAGGAGCAGCACCCTGGACTAGAGAGAACCCAAGATTAGACGGAGGAAACGTTCCAGAGAGACATGGCACCAGACGTTCGTTACACGTGGCATCGTATGGCATGCATATGTGGCAGCTTTTGGATGAGGAGAAGGCCTCAAAGAAGGCATCGTCGATAGGTGGAGCAGCCGGAAGTGAAGGTCGATCTCCGAACCGTCGGTCAGAGTCGACGTGTCCTGATATCTAGCTCCAGATAGAGACCTGGGTTGACATAATACGTCTCTTCCATCTCAGAGTCGGCGGCGGCACGCCTATTCGCTAGTTTGGCTGAGACAGCGGTGGTGGAAGGTGAAAGAGGTTCGTCAATTCGAAAACGAGATCGGCTATCCGTGCTAGCCGGTCCGGTTCCTCGAAACTTGTCGCCAAGACAAATGTCATCATTTTCCCTTTTCCCTCGACACACACAACATGCTCGAGTTCCAGCACTCAGGGCCCCTCCTTCGTATCTTTCGACATGACTGCCAGATCTCCAGCCATATACGTCAAGGAGCTCTGAATCGGCACCAAAGTGATCTGACACCTCGACGTCTCCTATGCAACCGACCGAGGAGGAATGAGGAGTCTCTTTGAAGCCATCCTCTCAGAAGAACCTCCATAAGCTACTCATAATCCCCGCGAACATACGCCTCCCAGCGAACCAACCCATTTCCCATCCCCCAAAAGGTCCCTTTTCGAGGAGAACTGACACGGGTAAGCACCAAGCAGCCAACACACCTCGCACACCATATAGTACGTCCCATTCAAAATTTCTTGATTGATATAACGAACTTGGTGCTGTTTACTTGTGCAGTGATTATCTTTACTCTTGCTCTCCTTCCTTCCTTCTTCCGTCCAAGAACCTCTCCTCGAACGGCCGCGTTTGTGTTTCTATCATCCCGTCGGCCATAGACGGCGACAGAATGTCCGCCCACGACAACGAGGAGTGACAAGAAGGAAGGCGTCGGTATCGGTATCGGGTACAACGAGCCAAACAAGTACTGAAAACAAACGTAGTTGGTCGGTGGGATTCGGAGTCGAATGGAATCGCGAAGAGAGACGAAAGTGAGATTGAATGATAGAGAAACGAGGCGATGAAAGAACGAAAGGATTCGGTCGAGGTATGCATTGATGCGATTATTCTTTCTGCAGAAAGTGTAGTTCTGAATCTGTTCCAACCACCAGGTCGTCAGTCCCATATTCTCGCATGATCACAGCGAACGAAGCGCGAAAGGACTCACCCAAAAATTTACGATAATATCAATAAAAGCACAAACAGCCTGAGGACGAGACGATGTTCTTCTCCATGGGATATTCCAAAAGCACATCGAGCAACGAAACAAGCAATTCCATCCTTCCTCTTCTTTCCAACACCATTAACCACTTCCTCTACGACCCCTCCCACTCAAATCCAACCTCCTCAACAAACGCTGAGCCAACACGCTTCCTCAATATCGAAATCCACATCCTCCTCCGAATACCCCTTCTGCACTGACAGCGAACCCGCACCCGCACTCACGTTTGCGCTTGCCGTAGCACTACCCTTCGTCAACCCACCAAGACCTGGCAGAGTCGTCTTCCTTGTCCGCTTCTCCCTCCTCCGCTTGCCAGGCCTCTCGACATGCGATTTGCTCGTCCGGATACTGGACTGGTTGCTCGCCCTCTTCGCTAAGGAGATGGAGCCAGCATTACCGGCAGGCGGCGACGACAGCGAGCGCTCATCCGTGCTGTGGCGCCGCTCATCCTCGCTCCAAGACTGGCGAACGTGGTTCGAACGCTGCCCATCGTCATTGCAGACAGGCGGAGGGTCGATGCGCGTGGTGTTCTCGGCGCAGACCCTCAGGGTCGAGATTGTGTTTTTGTCTGCTGGGTTGTTTGCGACAGCGATTGGACTTGCCAAAAAGCCTGAAAGAGGAAGGATAGCGTCAGAGTCAGAGGTGGGGGCGGCGAGGTTGACGAATTGGACTTTATCGACGAAGGGAAGAGCGCGAGCTCGTCCTCGGTGCATTTGCCCTACGACACGACGTGCCCATGAAATTTAATCTGTGGGGCTATATGCATGAAATTACGCCAACATTACCCCAGCCCCTCCTTCGCGGCGGGCCGCCGGGCTGCTACCTGAAGAAATTCAACATGGCGGACAGCGACTTTACCCTACATTTAAACAACAATGCACTGCTTATCTTAGATTCGAGGACAACTTTAAAACGTGTTAGGGGCCTAAACTTCGTAGATTCATCCGATACAACGTCTCGAAAGATGAGCTCAACGTCGACAGACACCACCACTCGTGGTCGTCGAGTGTTTGAGGCGCAGCTACTCGCTATCGTCCTCCAAGTAAGCATCTGCCCGCTATCAACACCTCGGACCATTCGAGCCACTTCCCTCATGTTTAGAACGAGTATACCGTCAACTCGAGAGCATCATAGACGAACTATGCGGTGTTATTTGTGATCAAGTATGCTGTTGATCACGATTGAGTCGGACGCACCTCCAGTCCAACAATCCGGTCCTCATCAATCATGCAAGAGAACGGCGTCTTCCCACTAACCTTGCGGGATGCGACGTGGTACGGCAGACGAGTTACGACGTCTTCCTCAAAAGTGTCCCCTTTTTCGATGATGGTAGGGTTGTCGTGCCTGAAGCACCCCTGTCGTGCGTGCAAACCTGGGGCAGAGCGGCTAGTAAGAGAGGTTGACGAGGAAAAGTTGAGCACCTCGATCCAGGTGCTGTCGAGATACTTCTGAATGCAGACAATGCGGTTGCCGTGTGCGTACCTTGTCAACAGGTCAGGGTGCGGCGATATAGAGTATGTGAGTAGTGATCCTACCGGCGCCAGCCCTGCCTGAGTCTTTTCTCCAGAAAACGGCTTTCTTGTTCGCCCCACTCACTCCAAGCCACCTCCAGGCCTTCATTCCGGCAATGAACATAGCGCGAGAAAGTGCTGCTTCGGACGAAGAGTAATCCCTCCAAACCCGAAGAGTACCCAATGGCAAAGACGTGCATGCGGCTGGTGGGAGAGGGCAGGAAAAGGGCGCCAGGTGTGGGACGGTGTTGATACCGTCCCGACTCCGCCTGGAAATGGCGTATGTATGGCCCGTTCGTCCCAGGCAAGGAGAGCGTCGCAATGAGAACGGGAATGCAGACCATGGTAGGGGTAATTTGATATATGAGGATCTTCCCAGAATCCGCCCTAGATGCGACAATGAAGACGTCTCGTTGCACAACGTCGAGCTCGTGAATAAGAGGGGGTAATTGATCCCGAAAATCCTGTAATGTTTGCTCAGTTACTATTACCTATACGGACAACCACTTTGGAGGAATGCCGGACGTACATGGATCAGGAAACCCATCTTCCAGTTCCAGATTAAAATTCTTGGACCGCGGTTGTCGCTCGTGGTCAAGAAAAGGACGTCCTCCACCACCTCAAGTTCCTCGGTGAGGGGAATGATTCCACCATCCAAGTAAAATTGGAAAGACAAGGGGCCTGCTGACAAGCAGGCAGAGTGTGGCTCATTCGTCGATATGGTGCGACAATAAAGCCTGCCATGAAAGGTTCCACCGGGTAATCGTCTGGTTCAATGCAACACATCAGTATAAACACCAATATATCAGCCGGGTAGACTTGCTCTTTGTGCAAAAAGACCACCAGATCTTCTCCTACGTCCAACATGAAATCGCGGACCCAAAAGCCAGTGTCCAACCGTGTAGTGGTACGATTTTCTGTTTTAGAAATAGACGGCAGCCAGTGCACAGAGATATTGCGCCCGTCCGTTTGAGCGAATGCACCTGCGACGTGATCGTAGGCCATCGAATGAGGGTCAGCCTTCACGATCTCGACACTGCTCCAATTCAGGTCTGCCCAGGCCTTTTCTCGGTCCCGCAAAGCGTCCAAGAGTTCTGCTGCGGGCTTCCCAGAGCCAGCATCTTGCATGGAGCTCATATCAAGCTCATAGATGTACTTGATAGTGTCGGATTGGAATATCTGGTAGAGCGCTCGACAGGACTACACCAGGTAGATGAGTTATTCCAAACTATTCACGAGCACAGTGTCGAGAACGTACCATCGCCATTGACAGAATAGAAGGGCCATCAAGACGGCACATTATATCGAAGAGTAAGTCCTCTGGAATCGATGTCAATGACTGCGCCATTGTGGAGGTTGTGCGAGAAGTGATGTGGGCCCGGGTAAGACCACGATAATCACTTTTTCCTTATCTAATCTGGACCAGCAAGAGGCAGCAACTTCAAGGCAAGACGCCTGACAAGAGCCACCGCCTCTTCGAGCTGACAGAAATCAAAAATGAGCCGGAGAAGTGTCTGGCCAGTCGTCCAACATCCGAGCGTCTTACTCAATGCTGGAATGGTTTCTTCGTGAACTTTGAAGTCCCCAAAAAGGTTTCGCGTGGGGCTGATAAGCCAAGATATACGATAGTCTTGACTCGGCTAAGGAAGCGTGAACGACGGCGAAGTCCATCGTGGCCATCGTAGAATGTCTGGGGCACTGGAGTACGTGGTGATGGCAGTGGAAGGCGAGGCGGAAAATCGTCAAGCCTCAGCCTGTTGGTCAACCAGACCTCGGCTATCGACGTTAACCGGTCCGGTTTGTTGAAACTTCTCGCCAAGACAAAGGCCGACATTCTCCCTTCCCCCTCGACACAACGTGCTCGAGGCTCCTCTTTGTATGTCTCGAAACTACCACCATAAAATAAGCCGAACGGGTCCAGGTCTTAATACTTAGCTCCAAAGACGACCTTGCACCCAACTTGGTTGTTCGACAGCTCCATACTATCATCTGCATCTGCACAACTGACCTCCGAGGAATGAAACCTCTACTTGAAGCTACTCCTTCAGACCAACCTCCACCAACCTCACGAACACACGCACGCTAGCCAATATCACGACAGGCTTCCTTTTCGAGGAGCACTGACACGGGCAACACTCATCAGCCAACGCACACCGTACGTCCCATTCAAAATTACTCGGATTGATATAACGAACGTGCTAATTATCCATGATTTACTTGTGCAGTTATTATATTTACTCTTTCTGTCGTTCCTTCCTGCTTCCGTCCAAGAATCTCTCCTCGAGCGGACACGTTTGTTTTTTTACCATCCAGTCGGTTGTCGACATTACACGAAATACCGCCCACGACAACGAAGAGGAGTGGCAAGAAGAAAGTCGTCGGTATCGGTAGCAGGCACAACAAACGAATGCTAAAACGAATGTAATTGGTTGGTGGGATTCGGAGTCGAATGGAATTGCGGAGATGAGACGAGGATGAGAATGAGAGAAATGAGACGATGAACAACGAAAGGATTTGGCCAAGGTGTGCATAACGCGATTATTCTTTCTGCAAAAGTGTAACTCTGAATCTGGATTCTGCCAGCCAGTTCGTCGGTCCAATATTCTCGCGTGATCATGAACGAACCGAAAGGACTCATTCAAAAATATAACGATAATATCAGTAAAAGACACGGACAGGACAGGACGAAGAGTTCTTCTCCATGGGATACCAAAAGCACGCCGAGCAATGAAACAAGCGATTTCTACCGTCTAACCTCAACATAGCCAGCGTCGGCGTCGCCATCGATTGAACATCTCCCTCTCGAGCTGCAGCACTTTGTCCCCTTGCTCTCCCTCTCCTGGCATCAGGGGCAGTCCCGAGCTCTCAGTCGAGCCGTCCTCGGTGTACATCCCGAATGACTCTCTAGATTCCGCGAACGGATGGGGTTTCCACCCGCTCCTGGCGCTCACGGCCGAGATGGGGTACGATGAGCCCGCTGGGTTGGCATTGTCATTTGAAGTTGAGGTCGAAGTCGAGGTGACAAGCCTAGGCGGTGCCGTTTGCTGCGTTGGGAATACGACGAAGGCAGCCGGACCTGCGCCCCTGGCACAACGATACTCGCAGCCAGCATCGCACACGCAGTCGACGCCGACACAAGCTTCGCAGATCGAGCTCATCTCCTTCTCCGCCTCCTCCGGATCGACGTCCACATCCACATCAACCCGAGTCTCTTCTCCCCTCTCCCATCTCTGCCCCACTCATCACCCGCCTGCATTTCGTCGTCACGAGGAACTCGACTCTCTTCAGCCCTTTCTCCTTGTCTCTCTCCTTGCTCTTTTCCTTCTCTCTATCAGGCACGAGCCGAACGACAGACGCAGTAATCCGACAACATTCAACCCCAGGCCGAGCGTTCGCCCAACCCTAACCTTGAACCTGCTCTTCGGTCTCAACAAAGAGGATATACTACGTTCCACGTTCTAATTCAGGGCCAGCCAGTTGTTAACTATACGCCATCATCCGCGCTCAATATTGACATGATTGTCAGAGGAGCAAATGATCACCCAACCGCGAGACAGTGAGAATCCTCAACGCTTTTCCAACCTATGCTTCACGCCCCTCTACTCGGGATCCGCATCCTCGAATTACACGCCCACACAGCTCATCACTTCTGTCATAATATTAATGACAATCGGAAGCGTATGTAATCCCCCGAGCGCTTCCCGCAAATTACTCCTGGAAGAAGCGCCTTCCCAGTGCTTGATAACGATATGCGAAACCTGTTGCTAGCAACGCTCAGGAGCCCTCCTTCATGGCTCTCATACAACCCCACTTCATCTCGTCTAGTCCCCGCTCGACAGCACTCCGGTACTCGAAGCACTCACTCTTCTCGTCCAAGACATACAGGGGTTCATTATCCCTATGATTCTAAGAACCTCGAAGCACCCATGGCCACTGACACGAGCCTCTAAGAAGCATAGCGCGCCAGCAGCGGCTGCGACGTCCTGGTTCTGTGTTTGCGAATCCGACATGTTGAATGATAGGTCTTTGAGGTTCGTTTGGTTAGCACTTTTCTTGTGTAGCTAAGTACTAGGTTAATTACTGCCTGCGTAGCTAGCTAGATTGTGGGCGAGGCACGGAGTGCCTTCCAGCCCATCGTGGGGACCTTTTTCGAGACGAGCGGAGACGGGCGGGCGGGATTGCTAAGCTGCCCGTTCAGAGCCTTGTCAGGCCTTGTCAATGTCTTCCGCTTGTGAAATGGGTCCTCACGAGAGGCTGAAGCGTCAATATAATATGCTATTAGGCAGCTCAAGAGGGAGTGGTGGGTGGGTGAGATTTTGAAGCACTCAACGCGGCCATTGAGGGGCGGCATTGAGGCTGAGCAAGCCTTCGAGGCGAGATGGTGGTGGCACGAAGCAGAGAGCGTCACGTGCCGCCCGCCACTCGCTCGAAGACTTAGTTCTATCCTTTCATTTGTTCCTCACTTCACTTTAGAACCGCAATCTTTGAGGTTCGTTTGGTTAGCACTTTTCTTGTGTAGCTAAGTACTAGGTTAATTACTGCCTGCGTAGCTAGCTAGATTATGGGCGAGGCACGGAGTGCCTTCCAGCCCATCGTGGGGACCTTTTTCGAGACGAGCGGAGACACCCAGCCGGAGTAGGAATGCGTGGTCATGACGCGCTGAGTGAGTCTCGGTCAGTCCCCATCGTAAGAAGGAGTGAGCACGGGTTCCGAACGATTCAGAGATCTGCACTTAATATATGGGCTTCTCGTTGTGAGCACCAGAGACTAAACCCAGTTGGAGAGATGAGGATGGCTTGTAGTAGTCTCCTATAGGATTGTATGAATTTGCACATGAGCCATCTGGAAACGCACATAATCGCGACTCAGATATCTTAGCGCCTGTAATGGCTGTGCATTTGTTGTGAATTTGAGCCCTGCTATCCCGTGGATTTTCCGTGCTGTGGCCGCAATTTGCTTATTGTCAATCTGTATATGCCTCTAAGAAACCTCAATTCCCTTTTCTGGGCGGCCGGTGCATGTCCGTGAGCAAGATACACCTGGTATATGGTAGGTCACCGGGACACCCTACCATAAATAGCGGACAGAAGACACGCTAAACCTAGCTTTCCGGGTTCCCTGAACCTCTGCGTCTTCATATTCTAAAACTTGGACCAGTAATATGTCATGAAGCCCGCGAGCACCCGGTTGCGTCTGAAAGAGTTTCGCAGAATACTGGAAGTTTGGCCGTAAATTGTATGATTGCACCTGGAATATTGTGGGCACTGAGGCCGAGCGTCGAAGTGCTGCCTTACGTGCTCATGATATGTCGCCAAGTGTAGATGTATGAGTAGCGAACTTGAATGGATCGTCTTGGTGACCTGAGAACACAGCTTGAGGCACCAGAGGTCTTGAATAACTCCTTGTAAGGCACTCAGATGTTCAGTTGGGGGGTAGTGTAGCATCATACTGAGAGAAGTTAGCATTATTCATATGGTATATCTGCTGGCATATCTCTTTTGGAGTGCTTCGTCGAGGTAGTCATTCTGACACTGTGTAATAAAGGACTTAAACAGATATTTCTCGTACTGCCATTGAAATTGCTGGTCCAACCTGCTTGATGGCGGACGGGGGTCTGTTGCCTATTTGCGAGGCAGGTCCATAACCTCGGGGTGCAATCTCCTTCGATCTTCAAGAGGTGTTAGCGCTAGCACTCTCGCTCTAAAGGACCCTATTACTAGTAGCTCCCTTCATGTTTGAACGTCTGAAGACTGTCATTTGTTGGACAAACTTCCTTAGTGGAGGTCTCTTTAGCGGTCCGATAGGGCCGCCACCCATGCGGGGTACGGCGACCGCCCAAAAACGGCTGAGAGCCAGGTTCAATTGAGTGAACACCGGCCGTGTCTGGAGGAGAGGATCTGGGATGAACATGGCCATGTATGGCCGTCATGCTTTTATTGAGTAGCCTGTCATTTGACTGTACTATCTGGAGCAAGGTTAATACAGCAACTTGAATCTTTGTAATTTATTAGCAGCCTCGTTATGTACGGCAGGATCCTTGTACGGAAAGCTCATCATCCGCCCATAATATGTATGTGTAGTGGACAGAGTTTGTATCCTGCAGGCCATATTTTCCAGCATACAACTAACTGCAGAGCTCGCTTTGGAGTTTGCGAAGCACTATATGGTTGCTTGGCATGCAGTGGCCGCAGCGCTGGGTAGAACCGCGCATTGTGACCGTATACCATGGCTCGCGGGTCAATTGGTTCTACGCTATCAGATCGTGAAGAGTTTAATGCCTTGAAATTACGGCCATTGGGTTACGACTGTCCTACGGCTCGGTCAGACGATTGCCAGGCGCTTAGCCGGCCCTGGGTGTTGTCCGTCCTGCCGTATATTTTCTGCTTATATTTTGGTATAGTGCCAAGCTGTAGCGTCGTGGAGGGTTCAAAGTCATGATAATATAGGCCCATCTCTACGGCCGACAACCCATGTGTTTTGGTGTGTAGACCTACTGGGCACTACCACACTGGTGGGGCTCTAGGACATAAAGTCCATAAGAAACGGCAGCTGGACACAGTTATGCCCTCGGGAGTCACGGAGCTAGTCCATGTCCTGTATATTGAATCTGACAGGACAGTGTTTCATAATGCAAGATAAACAGCATCAGCCGAAAGCGCTCATATATGCAAGGAGAGGAGGGTCAACGTTATTAGCATGTTAATTCATTCCTCGTATATGGAATAGATACGTACCGGGTTAGTGTTTCTGGTGGACTATCCTCGTGTCGTTCAGGATGTCTTCTTTCGAGCAGCAATTTTGGTGACGTGATTCCGAATATTCAGCATGCTCGTACCGCGGGGTTTGTAATTCTTTACTTCATAGCCATTAGCTGATTGGACGTGATATTATAACACACATTCGGGGGGTAACAATGTCACATTCAAGGCACAGAATAGCGCAGTGGTACATGGCTTTAGCACATAGCCTAGCAAGAAGTGTAATAGTATGCAGCTGGGTGATTTACCGATGTCATGAACTCCGTTAAGGTATTACATGCAATCCAGACCTGCATTTGAGCCTTCATTCCCAATCAAGCCGCGAGGGATGTCGAATCAGCCATCATAGAATGTGCTCCAACGTGAGGGAGAAATATAACAGGCAGTTATAGGACGAGGGGCATAGCTTAGTGAGAACTAGAAGGCTAGTCGAGAGAGAGAAAATAGGTAGGGGGGTAATAGGGGAGTAGCAAGCGAGCAGCTGAAGCAATAGCGAACCTTCAATGGTGTTTGCGCGGCAGCATTAGCAATGATATCAGATCAGCAATGGAATAGCCCACCTGCAAGAGGAACGGCCAATTCGCAGTCACATCAGCAGTCGCGCAAGCAGCACGAGCCGGGGGAAGGCCCTAGGAAACAGTAAATAGCAGACTGTCAGGGGATAACCGACCCAGCGTAGCGCCAGCAGCTGAGCAAAGCTTCAGGCAACAACAACAGCAGACAGCGAGGATACTGGCGAGAGGGATACCCAACTCGCTGTAGCAGCAGCAGAAGCAGCAGCAGGGCAAGGCCCTAAGGAAATAGTGAACAGCGTAGCAAACAGCATAGCAAATGGTGGGAACAGCGCAGCAGACTGGATAGCGAGGCGGCGGCGGCGGGTGGACGTAACATGCAGGCCGAGTTGCAGGATCTAGGTGACATGCCGATCGATAGTAGTGAATCGAAGCTTGCGTTGGCGGAAGGGCGAATGATGTCGAGGGGCGACTCTCGGGATGAGAGAACAGTCAGGGGTTGAGTTGTGATCGCCGCCGCAGGCGTAGCTCAGATGGGTAAAACAGCCAACGTCGATGGGCGTTGAATCAATTCGCGACGCTCTCGAGACACCGTCGCCACGTGTATCTGGAAAGAACGAGATAATACTGATTTAGTTGAGGAAGTCAATCACACACCTCGTATGCTGCGTTATAGGTCTACCACCATTGTCCTTCGCTCTTTTCTCGGCCCTATTTTGTGTAGCCGCCATTTTGGAAGAGGTCTTGAGATTCAATTTTGTGGCTAGCAAGCTGAGCAGAGTGCCAGCTGGCACCCGGAAGATAGGAAGCATCGGTGAAAGAGACATATTTGCAGACTTCCATACTGCGAGAATCTCAGAAACGAGATTTTGAAGCACTCAACGCGGCCATTGAGGGGCGGCATTGAGGCTGAGCAAGCCTTCGAGGCGAGATGGTGGTGGCACGAAGCAGAGAGCGTCACGTGCCGCCCGCCACTCGCTCGAAGACTTAGTTCTATCCTTTCATTCGTTCCTCACTTCACTTTAGAACCGCAATTTCTCGAAGCCATTAAGCGGGACGAGGGTGACACGATGACAGCGAGGCGTCGCGGGATGACAACGGCCGGGCGCTTGCTTTATTTTTAGATCTAGAGGGTTCGGTTTGTGTTTTCGTGAATCATTTTTCTGAGAGGGAGGAAGGGCAAAAAAAAACTAGAGAAAGGATAGTTTTGGCTCGCCGCGCTGTGCAGCATCGGCTTTTTTGTGCACTTCATGTCTTCTGCGAGCCTATGTTTTCGACGTCAATTAGTACACGAAACATCATAGTGACTGGTCGACTTAAGACTAGTCCAGGATGCGTAACTGCGATATGATTCGGGCCTATGAATAGGCTACGACAATCTTGTTGCAATACAACACAATTGCGGTTATCGTATTCCCATTCCCTAGAGAATGTTACGGGGCGAAGCACCCGTGCCCACGCTTTGCGAGGATACATCGGGGTCATAAGAGGAAGATCAGAGCTCGAAGGACGTACAGAAATGAGAGGTCAGTGCCGCGAGCCCTTTTCGAGCCAGGTCTGTGCTGACCGTTGTGTCTGATGCCTCCCGGCCCGGCACGCAAGTCGCATGCAAACAATTTACTGAGCTACAGAACACGATTTATTCGAAAGACAGACAAGAAACAATTGGGTCAGAAGTAACAGAGTCCCCTCCGCCTACTAGAGCTTGTCCAGAGTCTTCCTAAGAACTCGTAGATCATCTTCTTTCGTTATCTTCAGATCGCTCTGCTTCCGGCCTTCCGCCAACATTGGTTCATCGCGAGCCAGCCAGTCCATTGCAATCACCAGTTCACCCAGTGGGGGCTCATTCCCCTATCTCTTGGACCCCAGAGCAGTTATTTGTTGAGATTCGCAGTCGGATAAGACACCTCCCCCTCCAGACCACCCCAGTCAAATTGGACAAGCAGCACCCTGTCCTTCTCGTCACAGATGATATTTGCACCGCGCAAGTCGCCATGAAAAAAGCCTTCAGCGTGTATAGTATCGAGAAGGGTATACAGTTCAGCCACCCAGCGTTCTTTGTTGTCAGCAAGTCTTGCAATGCTGGTGACCGTGATAGGCACACCAGATGAGACATATTCCATTGCTATAGCCTGCCAACCACCAGGGCCTCAAAGGCGAGAATCTCCGGAGCGTGTCCATGGCGGGCACAAAGCGCATGCAGGTCGAGTGAGTAGCACTTGACGAACTTGACGAGGATTCTCCGCTTGTCACTCGTCTCTGCGATGTAAAATTGTGGGTAGCTTTGCCTGTCGGGATAAAATTGCAGGATCTGGAAGGAGAGATAGCCATCGGACCCAGTGGGGTATTCACGCAACCTGGATATCGCCGGATACCGATGTGCATTGGGTGGAATCTTGGGGGGTGATGAGGCCAGAAATTTGTCAATGTCTACGAGCTTGTAGGACAGAAGCAGCAACGAAGGCAGAGTAGAGGGCCTTGCGATCCGCGCCGCTAGAAGCAGCTTCAATACACGATAGGGAGGGAGTGAGAGGCATAAGTCGACACTGATGACCAACAGCAACGACAGCATAGAACGTAATGCGATCCCCTGGTTGGCTCGAAGGATCAGGTTAAGCACATAAAACATTCCAGATGCCTCGTACCAACGATGGTCAGACCTAGACAAGGCATTCTCCATCCTTCAAACAGTTCTACATGCTCCGACATTTTCGCGTGAGAATGCGCAACTTAACTTACGAGCTCAACTTCGGGTATAGCGTCTCCCATAGGCTCGTTTTTGCACTCGACAACCGTTGCAACCACGCCATGTTTGCCGAGATTGTGGCCATTCGTCTGTGTGGAAGCCGCTTGTGGAGAAGGAATCTTGACGCCTGTGCGCGCTGCGAAAATGCGGTCAAGGGCGGGCCTTCGTCCCTGCAGTCGTCTTCCTTCTCATAGGCGAGACACATCTTGGCTGCAAAATCATCAACTGCTGCTCGTACTCCCGCTCGATCTACTTCCGACAGACCAGGGATGTTGTCCTTGCCGTTAAAGATATCTGTGAACAGGCCAAAGCCATCATACAAAAGCTCAACAGGAGCTATGTCTTCATCTGGAACAGGGCGGTCGTCCAGGACCTTCTCGGAGGCTAATTCCCTTGTATTCCAGAATTTGTGCTATCTTTGACGGGGCTGTTCTGACGAGTTTGGTGCATGCGCTTGAGGCGATCAAATTCGTGTTGGTCGGAGGGAGAAACACTGGTGTGGGAACCGACTTTATGTGGGGTCGAAAAGGCGTGATAGGGGTGTTAAACATTATATACACGGTTTTTTTGTGTCAATAAAGTTCAAATAAAGTTACAATAAAATCTTCCTTTCCCATGCTCATAATTGTCCGAAAATCATCGCCTTTGAGGTAATTAGTAATGATTACATTTACCCGTCCTTTTGTTGCTCCGGAAAAGACAATAAAAGCGCGGAATTTGGGACAACAAAAAGGATTGACATAAAGGATTCGGGGATACTATAAAAGGAAAGCCCGAGCCCTTTATATCAAATTTTGCTCACAATTAAAGGCATCAATTACCTAACAATTATAGACGAACATAAAGTGTTTATATAAAGGGTTCGGGCTTTTCTTTTATAGTATCCCCGAATCCTTTATGTCAATCCTTTTTGTTGTCCCAAATTCCGCGCTTTTATTGTCTTTTCCGGAGCAACAAAAGGACGGGTAAATGTAATCATTACTAATTACCTCAAAGGCGATGATTTTCGGACAATTATGAGCATGGGAAAGGAAGATTTTATTGTAACTTTATTTGAACTTTATTGACACAAAAAAACCGTGTATATAATGTTTAACACCCCTATCACGCCTTTTCGACCCCACATAAAGTCGGTTCCCACACCAGTGAAAGCGCACGCTTTGTCGGTACACCTGAAGCCGATGCGGGCTCAGCTTAATAATGAGTGGGGTGACAAACAACACCCACCACGAACGATCTCCAGGAAGTAATAAATCCGATCCTCATGGGCAGCGGAGACCCTACTTAGCACTGAGCTTCGCTGGGACGAGTTGGCCTTCAACTTGGCGCTTGCGCTCTTTTAACGTCTTCTCCGGTTCGACTGGGAGCCCAGATTCCTGAAGATGCATCAAAACTCCGCCCTGTATCTGAGATATAGACCACATACCAGGTGGAATATTTGGAGGTGCTCGGTGTACAAGTTGTCGGAGGTGAACTTGGGCTTGAACTTTTCGTACAGGATAGTGTCTGTGAGATAAGAAACAGTGTCATTGTCACCCACGTGGAGCCGGAGAATGCATCCTAGTGGTTCGATGTATTCGCTGTACAACCAGATCGGAAACATCGAGGTACGAAGGAGAGTTGTGAGTTAATTGTGTTCACTAACGAGAAGTCGGCCATCGGCTATGCGTGCTAGCCGGTCCGGTTCTTCGAAACTTCTCGCCACGACAAACGTTGACGTCGCTCCTCCTCCGACACGACATGCTCGAAGTTCGAGTTCCAGCACTCAGTACTCAGTACTCAGTACTCAGATCCAGACCTCAGGCCTCTCTTCGCCTCTTTCGACATGACTGTCAAACCAGTTGTAGGCATCAAGGACCTCTGAATTAGCTCTAAAATGATTCGACTGTCGACACTTTGACATCTCCTTTGCAACTGGCCTCCAAGGAAGAACGAGGTGTCATTTTGAAGCCAGAGTCTCAGAAGAACCTCCATAAGCCACTTATAAAGACTCCTAAGCCGCGCGAACACACGCACCTTAGCAAGCGAATCCACCTCCGATACCATACCAAGCCTCCCTTTCGAGGAGAACTGACAAGGGAAACACCCAGCAGCCAACGCACATCGTAAAGTAGGTCCCATTCAAAATTACTCGATTGATATAACGAACGTGCTAATTATACATGGTTTACTTGTGCAGTGATTATATTTACTCTTTCTCTCCTTCCTTCCTCCGTCGAAGAATCTTTCCTCGAGCGGCGGCGTCTCGTCCAGTCGTCAACATCCGGCAACATACCGCATATAACAGCAAAGAGGAGTGGCAAGAAGGAAGGCATCGGTACCGGTATCGGGTACAACGAGACAAACAAATGCTGAAACGAACGTAGTTGGTCGGTGAGGGTTCGGAGTCGAATGGAATTGCAAAGAGGATGAGACGAGAGCGAGATTGAATGATAGAGAAACGAGACGATGAAAGAACGAAAGGACTTGGTCGAGGTATGCATGATGCGATTATTCTTTCTGCAAAAAGTGTAATTCTGAATCTGCCAACCAGTTCGTCAGCCCATATCCTCGCACGATCACAGCGAACGAAGCGTGAAAGGACTCACCCAAAAATATACGATAATATCAATAAAAAGACACAGACAGGGCTCTTCTCCATTCCACCATGGGATATTCCAAAAGCACGTCGAGC